CTTCCTTTCCCTACCCTTGGGGCAAGAGGAGTTGCAGGGAGGTGGGAACTGACATAGGTGGGCCAGAGGAACATGGCAGTTTCTGCCAGATGTTAGATGGGCTGGGGGTGGGGGTGGAGGATCCTGGGTTTCACTCCTGCTCTGGCTCTATCACTTCTAGGATAAAGTACAGAAGACTCAGTTAAATTCGAATTTCATACAAACAATAATTTCTTTTTAAGTATGCAACTTTTAGGATGTACTTATACCAAAAAATTGTTGTCTATCAGAAATTCAAATTTAACTGGGCATCCTGCGGTCTTTTGGGGATTTTTTAATTTAAAAAATTGTTTTGGCCACACCACGCAGCTTGTGGGATTTTAGTTCCCCAACCAGGGATTGAACTTGGGCCCTCGGCAATGAGAGCACGGAGTCCTAACCACTGGACCACCAGGGAATTCCTGGGCATCCTGTGTTTTTGATTTTTTTTTCCTAAATCTATGTATTAGTTTCATATTGCTGCTGTAATAAATTATTACAAACTTAGTGGCTTGAAACAACACAAATTTATTTTATAGTTCTGCAGGTCAGAAGTCTAAAGTCAAGGTGCTGGCAAGGATGCATTCTCTCTGGGGACTTCAATGGGAGGGGGATGCATTTCCTTGCCTTTTAGCTTCCAGAGGCCACTTGCATTCCATAAATCACGGTCCCTTCCTCGAATTGCTTTAACCTCTTACTTCTGGTGTCATATCTACTGCTGACTCTGATCTTCCTGCCTCCCTCTTTAAAAATATTTCTTAAAATTTTTTCTTGTGGTAAAAGCATTTAACATGTGATCTACCCTCTTAACCAATTTTTAAGTGTACAGTACATTATTGTTGACTATAGATACAATGTCTCCCATCTCAAGATCCTTAACTTAATTACATCTGCAAAGTTCCTTTTACCATATCAGGTAAGATATGCACAAGTTCCAGAGATTAGGACAAGGACATCTCTGGGGGGCCAATGTTCAGCCTACCACAATCTGGCATCCGTATTCCCAGCTGTGTGACCTTGGCCAAATCATTCAAACTTCCAAAGTTTCTAGTTCTTCATGGGCAAAAAGCTGATTAAATAAGTTTATAAGAGGAAACACCTTGCCCCATGCCAGACAAACAGTGAGTGTTTTTACAAATGGTAGCTCTTGTGGCAAAAGGCAAGGGATGATCCTATCCAAACCATGTCGTCCTAGGCATTTGGGATAAACCCCTCTCCTCAGCCAGACCTTCAACCCCCCCGCGGTGGTAGCCAGAGTCCAGGTTGCAATCACAGGTACTGCCAGCAGGGGGAGAGGAGTGCAGGTCCTGGTCTCAATGTCAGGTGAGGGCTGAGAAGGGATTTGGAGATTTCCCAGAAGTCCCTGTCCCATCCTTGAGGGTCATTATGTTTGGTTCCTCCTGGTGTTACATCTTATAAAACCAATTATCTCAGGATTGGAAGAGTCTCAGATGAACAACAATGACAACAAAAAGAATTTTCATTTTTTGAGGAATTGTATGATTTCAATTACATCTTACTACAACTCTGTGAACAGCAAGCTAGGATTATCTAATTTACAGATGAGGAAACTGAAACCTGGAAAGGGAAAGTCACTTCCCCAGGGGCTCAAGAAATTCAGTGAAAGAGCAGGATCTGAGCCCATGTCTGTATGAAACTATAGCCCCCAATTTTACTTTGTCTTTAGAGTAAATGTAGACCTGCCTCTTTATTTTTACATGTTGGGAAAGAGGCTCAGAGAAGGGGAAGAATTTGCCTATGGTCACATGATGAGTCCGTGGTTGAGTTGGGATTCTGTCTGAGTTGAACTTCTGTCTTCTAAGTTTCTGCCTTGGCCATTCAGAAGTAACAGACTTTGAACTAGTCCTTGAAAAGGTCCATTTCTTCATGTGTAAAATGAGAGGTGGTGTCCCTTGTGTAGGGGGGTCCTTGGGAGAATTCAGTGGGATGGCATATGCGGAATTCTGGTACATCAACTCATGAAATATCTGTTGACTGGTGATAACCATACCACTCAAGGGCAGAAGGATCACTGGAGGGAGAGCAGCTTGCCCTGCGTCTTGGTTTGGAGAGCTCTAAACATCTTACCCTCCTAGCTTCATCCAGTCTCTGAAGGAAAAAGCTGGACGTTGGCTATGTGCTGGAGGAGCCTGAGCCGTCTGTTTTCAAGGCATGCGATTCTGAGCTCAGACGATCTAGAGCTAGCTTCAGTATTGATTCGAAGGTGAGGCTTATTTGGGATAGCACCATGGTATAGGACATAGTTTCTTAACCTTGGCACTATTGATGTTTGGGGCTGGACAAGTCTTGTTGGGAGTGGATTATGCCATTCTGTACATTGTAGGGTGTTTAATGGCATCCCTGGCCTCTACTCACTAGATGACAGCACCCCACATTCACAGTGGTGAAAAGCAAAAAATGTCTCTAGACATTGCAAAATATGCCCTGGGGGACAAAATTGCCCCCAGTTATGAACCACTGGTATAGGAGGAAGCAAGCTGGCTTTTGGTCAGGCAGACCTGAGTCTAAATCCTCTCTGTGTCACTCACCAGCTGTGTAACCTTGGAGCAGTTATTCACCTCTCTAACCCTTGGCTCCTTCAACCATAAATTCTATACTAACAGCTACTATTTGCTGAACACATTTTCATTGGCAGTGTGATGAGCTCTTTACCTGGATAATCTCATTTAATTTTCAGTAAGGGTATCCTGAAGGGGACACTGACAGATGGAAACGGAGGAAGGGAGGGAGACAGGGAAGAGTAGTGTACGTTAAGCATCTTCTCTGTACCATGTAGGACAGCAGACTCACACACATTTATCCTCTGCCACTAGCTGTGTGATGTTGGGCAAATCACCCTGGGGCTCAGTTTCCTCATCTGTAAAAATGATAGCAGTTGGGAATTCTGGTAAGATGAAGGCAGTGATGCCCAGCATAGATTTGATTCCTCCCAAATCCCCACATAGAAACAGAAGATTCGAAATGGAACAGAAAATTCCATACACACACTTACAACAAAATGAGGTGACCAGGTATCTTCATGAGCTCCAAAACACAAGTGAGTGAGGACAAATCAGCAAGAGCTATGAGGCCCATGTGCCACTGGGGCACTGTTAAGGAGAAATAAACAGCAAGCAACAAGGTGTCTGACAGACCTGAGAACTGAAGAAACCCCAAACTGCAACATATATTCATGGGAAAGCATGGCGGGGCAATCTGAGAACAGCGGCTGACACTGGAAAGGATTGTGCCATCTCCTATCGTGGGTGAGGGCAAGGGCCCTGCCATAAGGCCTAAGGGCTAATGGAGTTTAACTCCTTTGAATTCTTTTTTTTTTTTTTCGGTATGTGGGCCTCTCACTGTTGTGGCCTCTCCCGTTGCGGAGCACAGGCTCCGGACGCGCAGGCTCAACGGCCATGGCTCATGGGCCCAGCCGCTCCACGGCATGTGGGATCTTCCTGGACCGGGGCACGAACCCGTGTCCCGTGCTTCAGCAGGCGGACTCTCAACCACTGTGCCACCAGGGAAGCCCACCTTTGAATTCTTGAAATAACCACCAAATCTTCCAGGCAGGTCCTGTGCTGAGGAGAAACTATAGGGAAGGGAATCAAAACTTAGCAGAATAAGGAAAGCAGACATGAAAGAAAGAGAAGGGCTAGATGAAAGTGGGGGCAGGGGGAAGGGTGGAGGGGAGGGACAGTTAGGGAGTTCGGGATTGACATGTACGCACTGCTATATTTAAAATGGATAACCAACAAGGACCTACTGTATAACACAGGGAACTCTGCTCAATATTATGTAACAACCTAAATGGGAAAAGAATTTGAAAAAGAACAGATGTATATGAATATATAACTGAATCACTGTTCTGTACACCTGGAACTAACACAACATTGTTAATCAACTATATCCCAGTATAAAATAAAATAAAAAAAGAAAGTGGGGATGGGGTACAGAG